TTTTTTTTTTTTTTTTTTTTTTCTTCATTTCACATGGAAAGTAATTTTGGACCAAAACCTCCTGGGAACAGAAGCTGTCATCTCTCTATTCTCTGAAATGGCTGGCATAATCTTAGCTGTAGGAAATTAAATTGTAAACACATCCTTTTTTTCTTTTTTATCATCTCTAAATATCTTTTTCTTTTTCTTTTCTTTTTCTTTTCTTTTTTTTCTTTTCTTTCTTCTTTCTTGTGGGCATCATGTGACGTTAGCTTCCTTAAACACTTATATTCCAATGGATTTAATGGGTGCTTGGGAGCCAGATGGCATGCCATATTTTTTTTCAAAACATTTTAAAGCACATGACAGACAATTCATGTTGACAGGAGTCCTTCTCTGAGGTGTCTGTAAAGCAAATGTGTTACTTGTTACTATTAGAGCAGAATAATTGTTTATGAAATGCATCCTCAAATTCAACAATGATTCAGTGAAGTGAACAGAAATAAACTGTGCTATGTAAACACTGCACACTCTGCAGAGATGTTACCACTTGTATAAGATAATTATAATCTGAGTGATGCAGTGTGGTATTACGCAATGACAGTCGCAGGAGTCCAAATTCAGGCAATTTTGTATGAAAATCTCCGGTCTGTGAGCAGTATTAAGGAAAAGACTATGGCTAGAGACAAAGGTTCCTCTTTTTCATGTTAGATAGAGAGACACATTCTTTCTTCTTTTATCTACTAGGAAGAGAGAAAACCAAAAAAGCATTATCCTTATAGAAGGAAAATAGAGAAAAGATCAGTTGAAGTTGCAGGTTCAGCTTAAAAAATCATGGCTAATGATCGTTGTGCTACAGAAAGCCAACCTGAAGCAGAAGCCAGATACCTGGTTTTGGGAAAATAGCAGGATCTCTGATAAATGCATGGTCTTCATGTATCCATCTTTTCTGGTTTAGCAGCTACACTGTGAAAATTAGGAGGTAAACGTTAGCTTGAATACTCTCTGAACGTCTGAACTTTTTTCTTTTAAAAAATGTTGAACATGGACAAATCTACTTGATTCCTGAATTTTATTCATTATTTTTTTCAGTGCTCTTAGTAACTGACATTTCTGGCAAATGTAGAGTTCCCTAAGAAAACAAACAAACAAAAACCAAACAAAACACACCAAACACAAAAAAACCCAAACCAACAAAAACAAACCCCCAAACCAACAAAACAAACAAACAAACAATGGTATACAAGTTTTACATCCATCAAAAAATCTTGTATGGGGAGTGTTTCTTTTGTCAAGAAAAAAGAACATGATGTGTAGAAACCGGATAAAGAAAGGCTGAATTGTTACTGGAAGGAGAGCTTATCTACAGCAGGCTGGGGATAATCCACCCCTGCAATTTGCAGTATACAGTATATTCTCTATGTTCAGGATAGAAAAAGTACAGAAGGTTTAGGCAAGTGAAGATAAAACCATAGAAGTATATTTAAAATAAATATCTAAGAATTATATACACACACACACACACACACACACATATATATATATATATATATATATAAATTTTTCATGTTCTGGGAAAAAAAGAAATCAAACCAGGCTCTTGTATTACCCCTACATCCGTATCAGCCTGTATTGTGTAGCTTTGAATCAGACTTTTTGTTCATCACTTTTGATGGTAAAATACACACCTTCTGGATTGATCTGAATTGCTCTTCCTCCCTTCTTCCATTGCATTTCCTATAAAGTTAATATATAGGATTAATAACAAAATCACCTTCTGGAGTTTAGAGATGGTAGCCTGTGCAATCCTGGGTTTTTGCAAACCACACTATTAACTGTGTGTTGTTGGGCAGGAGTGGATACCAGACCTCTTATGGGGAGCTCAGAAAATGATTGACTTCTAGTAAAATCTCATGGCAAACTGTGATCTTATGAATCAAAACCTCTATGAGGGATGATTAAAAAAGCCCAGCTGTTGAAATAAGGTAGGTATGCATTTTATGTAATCAAACATTACTTATATGACAGTCTGGTGTGAACAATAGCTTTTTTTTTCCAAGGATGCTAATCTCTCCTGATAATTATTGAAAGAAATTACCCACTGTGATAGATAAATTAAAAAATGGTGTAAGCAATCATCTGAAAATATCTTTTCACCTTTAATTACCTAATTCTTACCTCATTTAACCAGCTGATTGGGTGTTATTATGATTGACTACTTTATTAGAAGGACATACAACAGTAAGGGCTTCTGTATGCCACAAGAAGATGAAGTCTCCAGCTGCTCAGTTGAGTACATGAGTGAGATGAAATGACAGCGAAGTATTTCCGCAAGAAGATGTGATACAAAACCAGATTTATTTAGGACAATCTGATAGAGAAAATTGAATGTTGGGAGTTCCTTGAAAATTCTCTAAGCATTACTCTATGTATTCAGGCTGCAAAATGGTAACAAGCTCTAAAGAATATTGGTTTTGACATTTCCTATAATACTGGTGAAGATAAAGGAGGTGAGCAGTCTATGAGATGTGAGTGATTGTCACTAGCACTCTCACAGTTGCCATTTTATTACGAAGTGTGTTCGACAGTCATTGCTGGCAAATCATCAGCTGAAGTTTTGCCAGAGTTAAGTCCTCATGTTTAGGATCATAGCTATTTGCAATTATGGAGGGATGACTACACAGTCCCTTGACTTGCTGCTTTCTGTCAGTAAGTGGATGTGCTACATTAAGTTGGTATTCCTGTTCTCAGTAGATTTGTGCCTCATTAGGGCTACCCTTGAAAACACATTCACGGTCACATATTGAATGTATGCTAAAATAGGTGAGGCTATAAAAACAGTGACTGCTTGTGGATGTGCCTTCAGTTTCCTGCTTTAAACAGCTTTTGCATTCTTCATAAATGTTATGCATGTCAAGGTAGGTATTTGGGGGAATCACTGAAGTATTTCACTTCCATTGTATCTCAGATCTACTGTTTCCTGGGGGCTAATTAATGTGTATATGAAACAAAGAATTTGCTTTGGTTTGCTTTATGTAAGTCCTTAAAATTTCTCATGAGAAGGGAGGTGAAGGATCAACTCTTGTTACTTATTAACTATGTTTTTCTATTCCTCCAGCATAGGCCTTTAGCTGAATTTTCTTACCCTAATGAGTTCAGTCCAAATCACTTGGTCAAATCTTTCTGTATTTATTCCCCTGCTGCTTTGCCCACTTCTCCCAACATCCCACCTCCTTCCCTCTCCTCAACAAAGCAAAGAGTTTACTGACTGTAAATATGAGTAGATGTAGTAAACTTTCTTTTGAAAAAAGAGAGACTGCTGGACACTGCATCACAGGACCAAAGTGGGCAACAATTTGGATTTGCCCATACCATTGGTGGAGATTCAAAACCTGAGACTATGATTAGTGATGTATTATGGCAGGAAAACCTTGCCACTTGCTCCATCATAACAGGAAGAAAATTTTGTCTGGTTAGACAAAACTTTTTTCTGTTAATCCTAATGTTGAGAGCAAGTTTTTTATATTTTGGAGTGAAAAACTTTGCTGATGAATACTTCTCAAAAATACTCTTTATTTTTCACCAGCAATTTCAGTATTAAAGAGATTTTTACAAGATAAATTAATTCTTGAAATTATTTGCTATGAATCTTACTTTGCAGCTTATATAAATATGTCGTGAATGGGAATATGGATGAGGCTATGAAAGGCAAAATGGGGAAGTTAAGGATGTTGTTCATATGTAAAATAAAGGCAAATTATGCAAGATCTTGAGTAGATGTTTGTAAATGGTTTTTATCTATTTTTAAGTTCCCAAGACTACTTCATTTAAGTATTGAGTATATTAGATATAATTAAAAGTAAATTGCCTCTGAGAGAGCAGGAGGAGAGTTATTTACTCAGGAGTATTCAAACACTTTTGCAAAACTCTTAGATGTTATTATACTAGACTTCCAGTGATATTCTTAACATTTATGAAATATGCAATACACACACAAAAAATATCCTTTCTATACAAAATGGTCAGTGGAGACTTCTAGGAGTGACATGTCATTCCGTGGTGGTGTCAACTTTGACTGTTTTCCAGATTGCCTTGCTGGGAGATGCTGACTGCTTTGTGTGATACACTTTGTAGTTTTGAAAAACTGTCTGTCTAAGAGGTGCTGTACAGAAAGTGGTGAGTTCACCCCCTGGATGGCTGAGCTGGTTATTTCTTCCTTGTTCCTAGTCCTGGCTTGGGACTTAGGAGCTAAACACTGATACATTCTGTGGTGTACATATGGAGTGGGATGCCTGGAAGGAAGTAAGAGATTTCAGGACATTCTGAGATCCTAGATTTCATGTCTTAATCTGAAGTCCACTGATACACAGTAGGAGTGCCCAGTGTCTATGAACAGGAGTTATGGACAGAGGCTGAATGTGCAACAAATGCTTCTTGAAGATAGTTTTGCAGGGGTGGGCGGTGTTGGGGTTGTTTTGTTTTAACATGTCAGGTGCCTTGGGGCAGCACTGGAAGTGAGGTGTTCCATTTTAGCAGCAGATGAAGCAGCAATAATACAGGCTCCTCTCTGTTCCCTTCATGGTGTGCCTGGCTTCTCACTGGGAGCAGCAGCAGTTCAGTGACCGTGCTAACTCAAACATGGGCCTCATGCTGACGTGTGAAATAATCCTGGTCATAGTGGGAAAACCTGTTTAGCCAGGAGGATAAGAAAACAGTAGGTAATTTGCCAAGGTTCTGATAGCTTTGTTTTGTTCAGGGTTTTGGTGCTGTGTTTTGTTTTTAGAGTTTTCACAGAGCTTATATACTTGTCACAGAGGTACCAGAAAGAAATTTCTTATGAGGAAGAAGTTTTCAATTTTTTAAAAGGCATGTAAGCTGTATAAAACCACTTCATGTTGGCATGATAAAAGTTTGCTGTTATCACACAAGAACAAATATTGCAGAGATTTTGTATGGTCTAGAAAAACAAAACAGACTGCAGTGTCATAAAAAAAGACCACTTAAGAGCAGAAGTGTGACAGTTTGGCCACTTAAATATCTGAACTGGTATGGCTGGGAAAAATATGCCAAGTGGCAAAATCCTGGCAGGAGATGGGTGGTTTTTTCTGTGATACAATTAGGCAGTTGGATTTTTCCTCAGCAGTTTATCTCAGCTTTGTGTCACTTACCGAGAAGCGCTGAGAAGGCCGAGGCCATATCAAAGACATTTGAGAATTGCAACACAAAACTTGTTAGGTCTTGATTTATATATTTTGTATGCATGTATACAGCATATATATAAATATGAAATTAGTAATTAGACTGGATTTTTCCTAAGGTAAATGACAAGTGAATTCCTGAAGAAAGGGGAACAAAAAGAGACAGCAGTCTCAGTGCTGAGCTGTCTAGGCAAAGTGGAAAATGATGAGGAGCCCTGAGATCTCACCTAAAATGAGCCATCTAATCCAGTTACACCCTTTTTTTACAGGAAGAAATGCATGGCAGTGTGTTGACTGTGTGACCTGGAACTGAGTTATCACTTGACCTGGAAAGAAGGAAACCTCTTAAGCTCTTCCCTGGCTTAATTCTGTTCTAAGCTCAGGACTCCTGTATCCCAGATACATGCCCCCATCATCAGATTTGCTTAAGCTAGGGAGGTCATCTTTAATACAGCAGTGGAAAAGCAAAATAGTTTCTTGAATGTTGATTTCAATTGATGCTTAATCCCCAAGGGTTTACATTTCTGGACAAGTAATCATCTGGCTTGAGTGTCAAATCTCCTTGGCCCACTTTAATTTTTTGTTCTCGTTCCTATAAACTGAAACCACTTCAGACCGATGGCTATGACAAGCTTGTTCAGTGGTGAAAAACTGAAGTTAGTGACCATGTTTGCAGTAAGGAAGGAGACTTGAAAGCAGCTTTCCTTGAAGGTGAGTGCTCCAAACAGCAGGCTTTTGTTTAAAACAGGACTGAGCACGTGTGCAGCCAGTTCTCCAGTTTGTCCCAGGCCTTACACAAAACCCATGTAATGTAGGAGGTATGTTTTCATACTCTTTCATACAAGAGTATGAAAATGCTGCTGGACATTAGAGCAGCATTGCTCTTTTGCTTGTGACTTTTGGCAGAAATTTAAGAGGCCAGAGATTCAGGCACCACTGTGATTAATGATTAGACTCAAGTTCCTCTGTAAGTCTTGCCTTAAATCAAAACCCTGGAGGAATTTAAAATACCTGATAAGAGGGGGCCTCACTTACAGTGGCCCCTATTTTGTGCTAGTCTGCTCTGATTTGCATTTTGTGCTTTTAGATACAATAAATATCCTTTCCTGTTTGAGAATATTCTGTTTTTTCCCATGTTAATAGAGAAATTTTTACTTGAAAGCTATATCATGGATGTGTGGGAGAATTATTAAAATTTTTTTAAGGAATAAATAACCCTTAGAGGAATATTTTTAATGCCTGAATGCTTTAGGCTTGAGGACAGACAGCTGCATCATTTTGTACGTCGTGGATAGGTTCCAAGTGTGTGTGTACATGGTCACACAGACAGACATACAAGAATCATTAGCTTATATTTTCACATTAATAGTAAGCCAGGCATCATAATGACCAGTACTGAACTAGCTTTTACAGATCTGGTCACAATAGATGGAACAGATCTATCAGATGAGGTTCTTGTACCAGCTACTGTTCCCCCAAAAGGGGAGGTAGTCATTATGACACTGATCAGTCTCTTGCACTCCGCTAGCTTTAATGGGAAATCAGTGTGAATAAACTGGCTCAGATGAACTCTGCTTAATCTGATCTCATGATTTAACCAGGCATCTGGAAAAAAAAGGCTAATGTCACTTTGGCCAATGAACGAACACACATCTTGTTTTAAACACTAAGGTAATGAACAAGAATTAAATAGAATCTTGTCTGAAGTTTTGAAAAGGATATTTTACTTTGTCAACTATAACACACTCTAAAACCCCCACACTAAACTCATGCTTACTCTGTGTCAGCAAAATCTTAACAGTACAGGACAGATTAGTCTTTAACTTTCTTACAAGGGTAGGTCAGCTGCATGGATAAGGACACAGATCAGAAATAAGGTAAAGTCATAATTACTTAATTTTTTTTCACTTAAAATCTGCCTGCTGCTGTCCTCCGTACAATACAATGCTCATATTTATTTTCTCTGTAGTATAAACATTTCAGAAAACATCACTAAGGACAATTTTTTGCCTTCTGTTACTTTCCTTATAAGCTTTACTTGAAAAAGCTGTCCTGGTCCTTAATTATGCTAGGTACCAGAAGTCTTGGTCAGAGACTATTCTGAGTCATAGTTTCATCTGTCAGTGCCTTTTCTTAATCACTGGCACCTCCAGGATTTCAGAATATGTCTTGTTCAGAAATGTTATAGTATCACAAAATCTCATTCACTCTTTGCTGCTTGCAATCTAAATATACTTCCTAAAATAAACTAATTCTCATAATAGCTTTGCTTCAAAATTTTATTTTTCTTACAGATGTTCACCTGTTCACCAATGCCTAAATCTGCTTTTTCTTCTATATGTAAAGAATAATCTGTGGAAGAAGAATCCTCCACGCATAGAACTAATGTTATTAAATTTTCCATAGTTCCCTGGAAACACTTATAATCTGAAATTCTGAAAAACACCTTTCAAGTCAAAAGCAAGAATTGTATGAAGTTACAATCCCACTTCGCTCATAGAAACTCCCGTAGGATTTCAACATATTACTCTGTGGAAACTAATTAACAATAATAACAGTAAAATTAGTAATTTTTCTCAAAAAAAAAAAAAAAATCTGAATTGTACTCTTATACAAAATTGTGATAGCTTTTATTAGCATTCTTCAGGGGATAAAATTTACTTAGTGTGTGTGACTTTAACACACTTGTGACTGCAGCACATCATCAGACATGGATCGTAACTATGAAGAGCGCTAGTGTTATAACAGACTAGTTTATTTGAATTAGTTTAATTGCATATTCTGAAGTTTGCTTTGGTTCCTGAACAGCAAGTCTCAAGACGTTTCTCTATTTTTGCCTTATCTACCTTACGGCGTTTGAAATCCCAGCGGGAACAGCCCCGGCCCGCGGCTCCTCTCCCGCCGGGGCGCGCGGCCGCTGGCCCCGCCGCTGACGTCACGCCGCTCCTCGTG